GATCAAATGACACAAACATGTCAATGTTCAAATGAAAATATAACTAGAATTGATATAATAGGTATAGGACGTATATGTACAGATTCAATAGATCGAAGTAATTGTACAAAGTTTCCACAACGTTGTTTACAATGGTGTGATGAAAGTAAAACATCATATTGTATTTGTCCAAAATATACACGTAAAGTTAAAAAAATTAATGAACTTTATGATTGTGAATTAGAACCAACAGGAATATGTCGATTTGAGGATGAAAATAATATTGGATTAAATATAAGAAAATGTCCAACAGGTAAATTAATAATATTTTGTTTTTATTTTTTATTCTAATGAATTTTTTCTTCAGGAACTATTTGTGATGATAATCAATGTCGACCATTAACAATATTTCAAAAAATGTATGAAAAAATACGAAATGAATCATTACTATTATCAACTACTAAATCTATGTTAACTTTATTTTCTTCAACAAGAAAAGAAACTAATTCAATGACAACTAGTTTTATTTTTATTTTAATTATAATAACAATTGTTAGTCTATTATGTTTTATTCTTATTATATCTATAATAACAATACTTATTAAAACACATCGATGTCGTTTATTATCATCATCAGAAGATAAAGTATCATCATCATCATTTGCACAATCAACATCAACAGCTATTTCAACAGATTTTTCAAATGAAATTTATCAATTTCAACAATTACCAATTTTATCAACTGATTATTCAAGACATTATGAAAATTATTTAATAACACGACCAACATTTATTCATGGTATTCTTCCACAAACTAATTTATCACCTCGTTTTCATCGACATTATCAAGGTTTTGATAAAACACAACGACGAGCACCATTACAAATACAATCACCATCTTTATCTTGTGTCAATACATCTATTGATCATGGATTATTAACAACAAATAAATATAATAAGGATAATAATGATAATACAAAAAAAAATCATCATCTACCGACAATAACACGTTTACAAAATGGAGATGTTCTTATATCAGCTTAGAAAATATTTTTTTTGTATTATTATTATTTATTTAATTGATATTTCAAAACTTCTTAAAGAATAATTTCAATGTCTTTGTGTAAAGAAAGTTCTTTTTTGTTTTGTTTTTTGTTTCTAAAGAAAGAAAAAAGTATCATGTAGTGCGTTAAAGATATATTTGATAAATACACCAATCATTTCTCATATAAAAATATTATGAAGTATAACAATGACGCAAAAACGTTTTTCGTTCTTTCTGTTTCTTATGTTTTTATTTTATTAGTTTGAGAAAAAAGAACAACATCAAATCACACATGGACTGTTTACTACACCTGAATAGTCTTTTGCTTTCCACCATTGATGATGTAAAACAAATCTATTTGCCAACAAGTTTAGCGCTAGCAGCTCTTTATTTTCCAATTTTTCTTCTTTCTATATTTAATCGTTCGATTTCAAAAATATCAAAATGGATTCTTACAATTCCAATTGTTATCTATCTTCTTATTATTCCAACATGTCAACCATTTTGTCATATACCATTATTTAATACTTGTATTGCAAGTTTTGGAATTTATTATGCAGAAAAAATTTGTGAATGGTTTTTAATTCGACGAAAAGAATTTCATCGATGGTCTTTTTTTGATATTCATCATGAATTATTTTATTATCGTGTTTATACATTACCAATAAGTATTAAAAAATTAAAGAAAAAGAAAAAGAAAAAAGAAATTATTTTTAGTGGACCTATACATTATGATAAACATTTCATATCATTAATATATATATCATGTAGAATAATTCAATATTATCTATTATTTGATCTTGTTATTTTTTTTATAAATGAAGCTTTTAGTACTGAATTTTATCAAAAATATTATAAAAAATTTTTATTCATACAAATTATTGTTAATCAATCAAGTGGTTTTATTGTATATCTCCTTTTTGCGCTTAATTATGACATACTTCGATATGTACTTTGTTTAATATTTAATCGACCACTTAAATTAATGCCTGAACTATTTCAACAACCGTATCGAGCAATATCACCTGCTGATTTTTGGTCAAGATGGCATCAAGTGTAAGTGATAAAAAAAAAATAAGGATAAGTTTTTTTTTTCTCATCATTCCATGCTGTTTTTTGAATACAATATCTTTCGTTATATTATACATATTTGTCAAATAGAAGAGTATTTTGAGGTAAACCCATCATTTAAATCAAACTTCTTTTCTTTACTCACCATAATTATTGTTGAAATAAAACATCTATAATATGTCATTCAATGGTTTGACAAAAAAAAATGGATTTTTCAAATGATTTATACAGTGGATCGAATAATTATGTGTCGACCCCCCATAGCTTTTTTTCTTTCTTTTGTTTTGTTTTATAAAAATGAACTTAGGAACTCCTATAAGCAGTGCCTGGAAGCACATTAATTCTAGTATATATGGTATTAATTTTGAATTTTGTGTTTCTAATCATTGTTTTCATGAAATATAAACAAAAACTTATTCATTCAGATAGAAAAAAAAATATGTAATTTATTTCGTGGAAGACTTGAATAATAAATATAGGTGAAGGATCCAAAAAACGTTATCTTAGAACTCTAGTAATACGATTTTATTAGAACAGTGACTCACTAAATGATATTGCAACAAAAAAGTTTAGATTGAAGAAGAATCAGAACAATTTCATTGCACATCGATTCAATCCGAAAATGAGCACGTGAAACCAAATCAGAGTAAGAATAACCAAAGAAAAGAACTTGCGTACACTGAAGAAATACTAAAAAAACTAGTAAGATTGCGAGAAAATATGAGTAAGTCCGATGAATTAAAATTTAATATTTTCGTTTCGAACAGTAAAATTATGGTCTGAAGAACGTTGAATGACTTATTCGACTAAAAGTGCACAGTTCCCACTGTCAAACATAATGACAGTTCAATCATGATTTTGCGCTGTTTCCATGGCAAAAGAAGTTGGACCACTGTCTGACTGGAATCATACGATGTATTGTTATACATGATAATGATCCTAAATATAACTCCTTGGAAGTAGGAATTTGCTGGCTACAGTTGAAATTGGTCAGAGTCAGCTATCGAATTCCTGCTTCCAACTTCCTACAATTTTCCCAAGTTTCACGGTCAGAAATGGCCTTGATTTCTTTATCTAGGATCGTATGAACAAACATCAAATGAAATCAAAAACTAAAAACAAGAACTTGAATTCCTGTTAATATAAGAATAGAATATCCAACAAAATACTAAATGTAATTGAACTAAATTTTTACTTTTTTGTCTCACTGAATGAACATGTCATTATTTTTAATGAAAATCCCAGATGTTTTGTACTCATTTTTCAATGAAACATAGACGAAAAGAAATATAAAGCTGACAGTAGTAGCATATGTACTACAGGTGATGTAGTATAAAACATTGCTTATAGGAGTTCTTAAGTTCGTTTTTAATATAAGATAAGAAAAGAAAAAAAAAATCTATAGGAGCTACACATATAATTTTTTTTTAGACCTACTGTACATTTTCATGTAAGATCTTTCGAAGATATAAAAAGTATGACAATTAACATTTCTGAAAATAAAAATTAATGAGGATTAAGACTAAATGAAAATAATACTGATTGAAATTGAAATTTTCTCAATGCTATGATAACATTCGCATTGAGTATAGATTTCGAACATCAATAACTTAATCTTTGTATAGATTCAAAAATACTTGGATTGAAATTATCTTTAAACCAATATCAAAATTTATACTTTATTATTGGCCTTGTTCACCGAAGTTTATTGTTAATGGTATTTCATCGATGTGTGTTTTCTTGTTCTCTGGTATTGTACATGAATACTATACTTATGTAGCTTTTGAAAAATTTTCCGGTGATCAAATAATATTTTTCCTTCTACATGGTTTAGCTGTTTGTATTGAATATCTGTTTAAACGTCAATTTCATCAAGTTTATATTCCAAAATCAATCGGGTTTTTATTGACATTCATATTTAATGGTATTACAGCTGGCTATTTTATGCAACCATGGATATCATATTTTGTTAAAAGACAAGCGTTTAAATATTCATTAATGAATTTGATTGTACGAATATTATCTGATAAATATTAATATTTTTCTATGCAAAATCTGATGTTAATAAAAGATACTCAGGCACAGATTTTCTTATTAATAAAAACTGATCGTTCGTAATATATGTTTTACTGTTCACTTTTTCCAATACCGAAAGCTCTAGCATCGAAAGTTCCACATAAAACTCCAAATCCAACTCTATCTATGTCGAAGGTTATATCAATAATAGATTTGTGATTCAAATAGATCAGTTCTTTCTTTTGACTCGAAGAAAAAAATGGAAGCCTCAGCCCTCTTCACCGATCGAAGCCACGTCAACTAAATTTTTTCATACGCAACTCAATCAGGCTGTGCTTGACCATCTGACGATGAAACATTTCTTATTGTTCGATCGCTTTTTGCTTGAAGTTATAACCATTCGATCGGTCATGATGAATAGTAAAAAAAGCCTGCGCCGATTTGATTTTCTGGTCTTCGATTGTTGAGTTATGAGCGCTTTACTCAATTTTTGCGCATCTAAAACATTCGAAAGTTTGAGCTATGACAAACGTATCTACATTAAGTTCTTTTGAAACACAGTACAAAAAAAAGGTGTATCTTTAATAAGAGGAATGTTTTTAATGCCTATCAAGTCTATCTATGCTCAGAACTTCAGCTTGAAATTCGATCATCTAGATGTGGGTGTTGGTATGAGAGCGATCTTGATAGATCCATACACATATCCAGACCCATCCCACACCCAACTCATATTTTGATCTTTCTGTGAATGAAAAGTTTGAATTTTAGTTCTTTTCGTTGAAACACAAGAGACTTCCACATTTTTACGAACACTTATGCATCGTAGGTTAGTTCTGTAACATGCAAAAAATTCGAAATAAGAATAAATCGGTTTCGTCAGTTAAGCATATCAGTTTTTCGATAAGCCAAAGCGATGAGTTAATGCCATATAACACACTTGCAAGAATGTGATTGGCTTCATCAATATAAATGGGCTGTTATGTTGATTGACAACATGTATAAAATCTGTAGACAGTTGTTCTGATTTAGATGCACAGCGAAAAAACCAATAATTGTACCATTGCATAAATTTGATCATAAAAGGTAATTGTGGTTTAGTACACTTTGTTGTATCAGAATCACCTCCTCGTTCATAAGTTTCAATTTTACCATTTTGATTAGTTTTTATCAGTTTTAATGTTGGTGATTTCCAGTCACTTGTGGTAGAACCAAGCCAACATTCTTCGCTAATTTTTGAAGCACGTCGGTTGAAAATATAAGAAATATTTTCTAATTTATGGCAGCGTTCGTCAAATATTTTACTCAATTCTAATGCATGTCGAAATGCATGTGTCATACCCTGTCCAAATTGCGGATTAAAGGTACACATTGCGTCAGCTAATAATATATAATTATGAGGCCATTTTTTGCCTAATAATTCGACATATTTACGATCATCGATTGCTCGACGATAGGGAACCAATGGGCTACATACTTTTGTCGAGTTTAATATTGAATTGAATTCGTTACTTAGATGTTCTTTTATCCATTCTAATAAATTTTCATAAGAATCATTTGGTGGATATTCTTCATTGACACAATGAACTGCGATTGTTGATAACGTTCCTAGAGAATTTTCATCATCTGTTTTTATTGTACGTATCGGAGTTATATAGCATCCTACATTATTGTCGGGTGTATTAGTATTGGCGCACAGTATATGTTTCGAGTCTAATAATGGATTGCCTGTTTTAAATCTTTCACCTATAAACGTAACATAGCCACAACCAAAATACATTTGTACACTAGGTACAATTAAATTTAAACTTTCTTTTAACCATTTTATTGATGATGTATTGCGACCTGTACAATCAATTATAAAATCACCATAGATATCTAATAATGGTAAACCGGTATTTTGTTTCAATCTATATTTAACACCTTGAACAGTATTGGATGATTGATCAGCAATGAGTTGAATTACTCTTGCATTACATTTCCATTCAATTTGATTTTCAAATTGTAAACATAATTCTTTTCTTAAAGCTATTTCTAATGTAAAACGATCAATACCCAACCAATCAATATCTTTAGTTAAATTTTGATTTAGTAAATTACCATCAATAATAAATCTTGATTCATTTTTTAATGAATATGTACGAATACCATATTCATTTATTAATTTGTCTTTTAAATGTGGAAATAACTCGTGCATTATTTTAAATCCTTCACCTTCAAGTGCATGTAATTGATAGATTTGACTAACACCTGAACGTCCTATTGATGTTGGACTTTCTAGACGACAACGATAATCTAATATTTGACTGGGTGTAGATTTGTTGAAAGTATCATTTAATACATCATCTGATTCAATAATTGTTATACGTTTGAAATACTTTGATAGATAAGCAGCAGTGGCCATTCCTCCAAAACTGCCACCAAGGATTATGGCATGATCATATTTAGAAGCATTTGAAGTTAATTGAACTTTTTTATTATGATTCTTATAGAAAGTGTACGAAATTATTCCCAATATGATCGGTATAATAAGATAAAATATAATCATATTGTTTAGTAATGGATTCAAAATAGAGTCGATTATGTCGATAAGCAATAGTATGGTTACCAAAAATAACGAACTAAAGTTTAAAAATTATGTTTGTGTATTGATTCACGATTATATATGGGGGTATCTAGTCTGGCCGCCAGACTGGATGCCCCCATATATATACTTAGGGCTTACATCAAAAGTAGTGGGAGTGACACATAAATACCGTATAGAAAGCTTTAAATAAAAATTTATCGAATTATATATTATACGTTTTCCTAGTATACGGTTTTATATTTGTTTAATCAGTCTTCTAAGCGTGAGCGAATGGCTTCTTGTCAAANTAGACGTATGTGAACACTTTTTCTTTAGTGAAATGTATTCATCAAGAATTGTAAATTTAGCTGATCGAGTTCAGATTTTATTTTTCATCGAACTAAATTATTTTATTTTCGTTTCATTTGTTAGAGAAAGAAGAACTTGAATGGCAGAAATTGATATGACATACAGAAGATATAAATTTTCATTAGACATATAATGATTAGGAAGTTATTGCATATTAAGATAGGAACAACGACAAGATATGAAACATTTACAATAAACTATATAAATGATTTATTAGTTCGAAAAATTCTCATGCTAGTCTCATCGAACTCTTTTCATGGACAAAATATCGATTAAAAAGTAAAAACTCAGTCGCAGTATCAACTTCATTAGTTTATATAGCATATTCTAAAAGGTATGCGCAAGACCTGGAATGTGCAGAAAGAAAACTGTTGTTTGGTATATTAGCAGCTTTATTTCTTCGTTAGAATGAACGTTATTAAAAGTATTATATTCCATCATTCATAAAAAAGATCAATAGGTTTAAGCAGCTGTGATAATTCTAACTAAGTAGTTACTACTATTTGACAAAAAGAAAGAAAGAAAGAAAAAAAGAAACTTTACTATATGTGTATATGTAAACAGAATTTCTCTGTTTCAACTTGTACATTCTTCTCTGAAGAAGAACAATATTATCGTCCGAAAACTTAAGTAAAAAATCAAAATAATTACCAAGAGAAAACTCATTCAAAAACTAATTCTTTTTATTGATAACTACAGAAGCGTTTTATTCAAAATTTTTCTTCAGAATTAATTGAGTGCATTTACCATATGTAGACGAGAATATGTTTTATTAGCAAATATAACAGGACAACGTTTGCTGAACTCAAATCAAACTTGATGTTAGACACATTTTATTTAAAAACAAAAAGTTTTTTCAGTAATGAATCTGCTGGATTATAATACGAATGATTTCAATCTAAAAGATCCATTGATATACATATATATCTATAAATTTGATTAATAAAAATGAAGATGAATCACATTGCCATAATATTGATTTACATTAATCTACAACTACAATGTTCTATTCAAAATATTCAACGAATTACAGTAATATTAAACATTGAACAATAAGTTTGTTATTTTATATTTCAATTTTCATTAATCAATGAACGTTTTGTTGCTTCAACAAGTCCATCCATCATTTTCTCATGTTGTACATTTCTCATTTCATTTGCACTATAAAGAATATCAAGAACACACTTTATTAAACAATTAAAACATCGTACAGCTCCTATAAAACCATATTGATAATTTAAATATTTCCACAACATCGTGACAAGTACATTTTGTATATTTAACACAGATAATGCAGTTGGTAAATTCATTATACAACTCGAATAATAAGGATTAACAATTGAACAATTCGTTGAAAATGTCAAAATTAAAATCATTATTTTAACAAGTATTCCATTTGGTTCTAATCGTGTTATTAAATGATCAGAATGTTTGATAACTTCGGATCCGTAAATAGTAATACAACTGGCTATAAATGCCATATTATCTAATGCTTTTATTTCACGTATAATAAAAATAGAATTTAATGTACCAGCTATTTCAGAATTATTTTGTACAAGTGCTTGACGTGTATCAGTTGATAGATGATGAAAATATGGTGAACATTCAATAAATGGTTGAAGTGTTGAGAGAAGAACTCTAAAAATATCGATTGCTTTTGATGCTTTTGATCGTAGTTTTGGCGGTAATGATGATTGTTGTTCAAGATTATATTTTATTTGTGGAATTATATTTGCTTCATCATAAGCATGAATTACATTCGAAAGAAGATTCCATTCATTTTTTGTAAGATTTGAACGATCATTATTAAGAAGACTAAGTGGTAAAGGCTATATAACAAAATAAAAAACTTTTTCAAATATAATAACTCTATATTTCAACAAACTTTTGGCAAGCAACTTTTATGTTCATTCTTAATTTTTAAAAGTTCTTCATGTTTTGATTTAAGTTGATTGTAGGACCAACGACGTATTAACTGTGGATTCATACCAAGTGCAAAACATTTGTTCAAACGACAAACTGAACAAGTACTTCTCGTTTCTCTTGTTATTTGACAATTATTATAAAATTTGCATTGAAGTTTAGCCTTTTTAATTGATATAAAAAAAAAAGAATATAAATTCTTACGATAAAAATTTTCAAACTTACATCGAACTTTAACACATGTCGTCGAAAAAATACTTTACAAGACATACATGTCATGACATCAAAATTGATTCCACGTGCAACATCACCACATACAAGACAGATCAATGGAACGCCAGCTTTTCTTTTTGTGGTCATTGTTGATTTTTATTGAATTAGATAGACCATTTTATTTATCTGGAAAAAAAAATTTCTTAAAATCTTTTGATTATTTCTGAAATTGATAACAAAATGTAAAATATCTCTTTTTCATGTGGTCTGTTAAAATATGTGGACTTACTTTTTTGTTTCGAAAAATAATGATATGTTTTTCGAGAGAACTAAAGTCTTCGGTAGATAGTTCGACATAATGTGCGCTATATTGGCGGTACCAGGAACAAATATCCAACAAGGGTATTAATTTATGACATATTTCTTTTTTCTTTAGTAAAACAATCATAGATTCTTTTTATGTCAAGGAATATGACAAACTATTAGCTTATTTACCGGAAACTATCATTTGAATTTCGAATGTATTAAATATTTTCTATTATCCGGTTTTGATCAAAGATTTTTTGATACTATCAGAGAAAAATATATCTGCAGTATTTTGATCAAAATTCATCTTTTGAAATTGTAACAATTATAAGTACAATAAAAATTTTTAGATCATTATGACATTTAATAGTACATGATAAGAATGGTTTTTAATGCTTAAGTAAGATAGATTGCTCTCATAAAATAATCTAATTAGAAAAATGAAGGTATGGCGTGGCGTCTTTATTATTATTCTCGTTTAACATGCATGAAGAATTTCTATCAAAATTTCAGAAGTCCAAAGCAAGCTTAGACGACAATTGAACCTCGAATTTGCAGCCAAGGCTTATAATAAAACTATAATAAGAGCACAAGTTTAAGTCATGCAATGTTGGTCGATGTCTTAGCTTGTAGAAAACTATGCTCTATTATGGAATACATGTTAAAAATCTGAACAAAATCATCCTACTGATACTTCCTGTTAATCTTCACTCTTGTTATCGGGCGTATATAATTCCAATAATTTCTTTTTCTCATTAAATTCCTCTTTTTTATATGAAAACCGGATATAAATATTGCATATACAAATAGAAAATTATTAATACAACCCCTGCAGGATTAAAATATGAAACACGATGTAACTGCTGTTGCTAATCACAAGAAGATTGCTTTATTTTATCTATGTTATGTCACATTTCTTCCTCATCCTTTTACTTAATCTTTGAGAAACGCAATAAGGAACTACAGTAGTTCATTTTCTATAATGAGGCATTATTTTTATACAGCCTCTCATCACATGTCAACAATGTCTGTCACAGCCTCTCCTGGAGGGAGAAGGGTTTCAAAATGTTGCCCCTATATTTCAATACTTCTTTTAGATCGTATTTTATAAAAGAAGTGAAGTTTTCAATATTAGTTTCTCTGAAAATATCGTGACGTTGATCACAGTTTATTGTGTATATTTCAAGTTATGTTAGTAGAACCTAAAATAAAATAGATTGTTTTCCTTTAGCATCATGAAACTATAACACTAACTGTCCGTTGATCATTTCATTCAGCTATACTTAGAATTTTGACTATCAATTGTTATTAGATATGTTATTTCTTCAATCATCGTCTCGATCATATGTCTTTGTTGTATATTAAATTGTTCGTTTGTGTATTTTGTAGAACATCAAGAGCATATTTTATAGAAGAAACAAACCATCATAAGATTACAGGAAATTCATATTGAAAATATAAATATTTTCCAAAAATTGTAATTTGGTTATATTGTATATTAATTATAAACACTAAACTTGATGCGGATGTCATATTTTCCCAATAACAATAAAACAATTAGATGATAATATTAAAATAAAAACTATAAATAAAAAAGTATTCCACATATGATAAAAATTAAACTTTATTGTATCAAACGTTGCTGAAATGTGTTATACAAGTGCTTGACGAGCATCCGTTGATGAAGTATAGAAATAATATGGTGAATGCTGAATAAATGGTTGAAAGAAAAACTTTAAAAATAACAATTAATATTGATAGATTTTATCGTATTTTAGATGATAATAATGATTGCTGTTCGAAAAAATTATTTTTTCTTTGTAAACTTATAATTGCTGCATCATAAGCATGAATAATATTTGAAAGAAGATTCTGTTCATTATTTGTAAGATTTTTATGATCATTAATAAGAAGACTAAATGATATTATCTATTACGATACTAATTCAAAAAAAAACACGATGAAAATATGTTTAAAACCCTTTAGTCCCCATTGGCAACTGGAATTGCTATTTTTTAGAAACATTACAGTAAATTAAGGAAGTGTCGCATTCAAAAACGACAAGAATCTTTTTTATAGTAAATTTCATGGGCTATCATTTGGTAAAAAGAGTATTTTTTTAATTTCTCCGCTATTGAAATATCGGGTCTTCAAAATCAACAATTTTGAAAAAATGAAAAAAAATTGAAATTTTTCAAATAAAATATTCTCTACTCATAGGCAATAGAGATCCTTTAGAATTTCTGTGCAATATTAATTGATGAAGAAGTGCATTGATGAATAAAATATGTTTCAAAAGTTTCACGATAATTCCACGATTTACACATGCTAAAACATACTATTAACCATGTAGCCACTATTGGGCTAGCGAAGGGCAATCAAGAACAAAGTTAATATATACAATATAAACCTCAACTCATGAGAAGCTGAAATAGTATTTATTATGAATTAAATTTCTTCTTAGGTTATAAAATGGTTCAGAGCAATATAGACTCTCATTTTCCAATTCGTATAAAAATCCTCATACACTCTTTGAAATTAATTTTCATCAGTTCACAACTTTTTTTTCCATTATTTTTAAATCACAGGACATATGTTGCTTCTGCTCACTCGATAGTGTGATCAAAGAAAAAAAAAATTCAAGTCTCACGATATTGTTCAATCCCCCTTTTCCACCGTATGATTTCTGAATCTATCGAACCGTTGTACTCTAGGAGCAGGACGTGTGGTGGATCAGACCACATTATTAACATATTAGAGAGGTCAGTACCTTATTTATGAAGTTATTTTATCAGTGGCTCTTCTGGAACCGCTATGGGTGGGTGGGTGGGGGGGGGGGGGGGGGGGGTGGGGTTAAAAAAGCATTNATAAACCAATCATTAATCCAGCAATAGGATTTGAAAGAATTGCTCCTTCAGCAAAAACTTTACCTGTTAATTTACCTAATGAAAAATATTTATTTATAAAGAGCTTTTTTTTTCGAAAATAATATTTAACCTCCAATAAGTCGAAAAGCTGAACTCATTAAATCAAGTGAACAAACAAATAAATATAATAAAGCAAGTAAACCAATTAATCTTAATATTAACAGAGTGATGAATTTAATTCGATCTTTTTGATTCATATCTAAATGAACGAAATATGACTGAGAAAACAAGAAATTGTTTTTTTGAATACGTTTCCATTTTTGACTTTCTTCAGCGTTTTTCATTTGAGAAACATTGTCATTATCGAAAATTTTGTTTGATTTTGCTCCCATTTTCTATTTTAATGTTAGTATGAAACTAGTACTCGTTTGCTTATATAGTTTTCTTCAGGCTTCAAAATATTCTGATGAGTTTTATTGAGTCATCGATTTATCGAGCGTTTAGCACAGATTCTTTGTTTTGTTGTTAAATATAGATTACTTTATTACTGAGATAAGAATTCTTCAAATATATGACGAAAATTTTTCATGTCAACTAAAATCTATTTTTCTCTCGTTAACATACTTAACACAATGCTCGAACATTTTGCTAGTTTTTTTTTTTATTATATTTTTAAAGATTAAAGTACATCTATAATAAAAATAAAAATAAATTTTTCATGAAATCTAATCTCTTCGGACATTTGTTTTTCTTTTGGCTAACTTTTTATTTGTCGTATTCATATTCGACAGCTTTCTATATGTATACACCACAGCATTTTAACAAACTACATAGAGAACCTCGTTATTTGTCAGCGAATCTTTCATTGGGATCGTGAAACACGCTACGATCTGTTTTATTAAATATGTTTCATTTTTGTCTTTCATATTTTTAAATAATATTTTCACTTGATTGTTTTTTCATTAATATTCTTTGTTTATAGTATATTATATAATGAGTTTCGACAATCTAAGAGAATTTATGTTGAACAATTAAATATCTTTTATTCCCTGGCAAAATATTTTTGTGTCAGTTTTTCAAATGTAGTCCTTATCGTCATTAATAGTCAAAGCTGTTTGTCAAGTATATCGATGCATAGAGGCCAAAATGTCCTACATCATAATATCAAAAGGTGATGAAATTCATATTCTTATGTGAGACTTCTATCCATGAAACTTTAATTTCGTAGGAGATCACAAGTTGGAGTTATAAAATAAGTGATCCATTTTCAAAATAATGACAATTTTACAAAGTCATGCCAAGTTTGTTTTGTTGAAACCTTCAAAATCTCTACAAAAGGAAAAAACCTTATTGAACGATTATCAAACATTTTCTCAATAGAAAATTAAGTTTGTTTGTATTTTTTCATTTGAATGTGAGAATAGTGGAGTTAGATGCAAGATATGCCAAATTACCCATTATAAATGCGGAGTTTCGTTTATGTGGTATCGCCGGTTACCCGGATTCGTGTGATATCTCTCAAATACAAGCTAAGCATGCCTAACTTACAGAAATCTTTACATAAGAATTTGTTAAAAATAACTCCGAAATATTTACTCAGAACAAAAAAGGTTTAAAAAAACATTCCAATGTTCTTTACGAATTGTGTAAAGAATAAAACCCTTTTTTTCATAATGTGACACAATATGTCAGAGTATCGTCATCAACTTTAATGTTCTATATCTTAGCTGAAATTATCTTGAAATAAAAGACTATTATCAGTACAAGTTCAGCACTTGAAAAATACGACATATCATTATTCAAATATATATTTGTTGTCTTATTCATTTACTTTTCTTATCTTTATTATCTTTCTGCACGACTATAAATATCAACGATGATTAGCTGTAAGCTTTTCTTTTTCACATCAACAAAAAAAAAAAAAGAAAAGGTTTCATATGCAACAAAAAACTGGCAAAAGAAAAAAAAAACAAAATAAATTGTCTTGTCTTGTTCCTTTTTTCTGGTAATATGAACATAAAAAGACGATTGTTTTTCATTGATGGACAATTCATTCAATTAATCAATACGAAATATTTCGGTAATGTCTAATTAATAAAATAAGAAACATCAGAAGAAGAAAAAACAAAGTAGATTTAAATAATTGATTCTACTGAGTTTAAGGTTAGACAAAAAAATATTTATAATTATTTTATTTTTACAAAATATTTATATTTAAAACAATAAGTTGTCATTCGATGTTTTTCTCTTTATTTTATAGGAAAAAAAAAGATGTTTCTAAAACTGCATTCAAGTTGTTATCTATACAACTTGATTTGAATTTTGCATATGTTATAGAAAAAATTCCAAGCAAAATTTATTCAATGGTTTTTCTCTGACATAAAATACACTACTTACAATGAACTATATGCAATACATTTCCAAATTTAACTACACAAATCTTCTGAAATGCTACAAGATCGTCGATTCTTATGCTGAATTAGAGCAACTATTCTATTATTAAACTATCTACCAACATTCTCTTATGAGAAACATTTGAGATCATAGAAAAGTAAATTAGTTCTTTCAAGTTATTATCAATAATCAAGACAAAAATTCATCATCTCAATATCAAACAACGTGTTCTCATATTTATCTGTTTTTACAAAGATCGACAATTAAAATCAAGTTAAATCGTCTACAACTATCATTGGTTTTATTACATACTTTATCTTCTAGGTTCAGTCACCTTCATGTTTCTCGAATGATTTTGAAAATCTAATTTTCATTTTTTTCAACAAATCGTGCAATTGAAGAAAGATTTCATCGAAAATTATCGACATGAAAAAGTTGTATTCGTCTTTAAAAATCGACATAAATAATAATCAAATGATTCGATCAACCATAATGAAAATCGTGTTAATTTCACTCGACTTCTTCTATGATCAAATTCATATATATACAAATATTCGTCTTTATTAATCGTAATCATATCTATTATAAAGTTAGCATTGGATTGAGGAGACTGCTAATTTACAACAAAGCTTTGTTTTAAATTTCTTCTTTAATTAGCATTTTCAATAAGGATGAAGAATTATATTCTATAGGAAGAAAATTTGGAGAAGTTCTTTTACAATTATTCTTGCTTATCATATTTATTTAGTTACTCCGTATCTTCAGATTTGTTTTATTATACTACATAAAATGCAATTTTATCTAAGTAAGAAAATAAAAAAAAAAAGAAAGAAACTAAAAGATCATCGAACTTAAGCAAATGAGATAAGAATAGAAGACTAATAGACAAATAGAAAAAGCGCAAAAACTAAGGGAAAAAGAAAATAAAACATATACTTTGTGATAAAATGAATAAGATCTAAAGATTGTTAGATCATAAACGAGAAATGTTTTATGCAATACTAGCAAAGAACTATCAAACTTCAACAGAAGATTTATCGAACATAAAACAATTGAACTTAGTTATGCAAAAATTCTTAGTTTTCACGTTAATTTACCAGCGATGAATCCCATTTATTTTGCATCGCTTTCTTTAGTTATCGAAGTTTTTTCTTTACGAAGTTGAAATAAAGTCAACTAGTGTATGAAAATAATACTTTTGTGAAAATGAAATGAAAATGTTACTAAAACTACTCATTGTCCCAAATATTTCTTCCTAAAACTTTTCCCATATACCTTTACGATTTTATTTACATTTATCAACTATCAGTTTTAACTGAAATATAAAACATTCGTCTTTTATCTCTACCTCGCGAAAATGATTTCACACTGTTTTTTCTCCGATTGGGTTGTTCGGGCGTCAGTGTAGTAATGTCTTACATTCAAATTAATCCAGAGCTACACTGACAATATCAATTCTTAACTTTATGTTGATTGACGTTTGCTTGCATAGGAAGTGCAAACATCTTCCATTAGTGACTTATACTTACAAAAAAAAACAACTTTCGATACTAATTAGCTCTTAACAAAGTGTAGTTTTATGTTATACAAATAGAATTATAATAAGATTTGTTGCAAATAGTTGACTCTCGACTGAACAATAAATTTGACGATCGATGTTTTCTAAAAGGTAGATCGAATTGAACACGATTGAATTTGTTTTTTATGAGGACACGTTTAAACAAATGTCTATAAAGTAGATCAACGATTTAACGTCAGAATAGTTGAAGAACTTTAAAGCAAAAAAGAACTAGATTATTCTATTTTAGTTAAAGGTAATATGTGTGAATAGTACGTATAAATAAAACTGTATATCGATCTATTATTAAGAAAAAATAGTAGATGAACTTAAATCAAATATGAAAGATATATAAAAAAAGTATTAGGGAAGGATCTTTACACTACTCTGTAGAAATTTAAGAGTGTAGGGCGAAAGAGCAGAGACACACCAAATACTGAGTTTAACAACAGATATAAGGTACGGTCATCCGACGAACTAAATACAAGACGCGATCATTCCAAAATAACATGCGGTGCAAAAGTCTTTGCACATATGTCAAGCTCTCTCAGACCGTCTTGCCGACTTCTAAACCAATCAAACGTTTTTTTGTTGGAAAGAGCAAAGTCTGAACTACAAATTTTGTACCAGACATATTTTCCCAAAACGAATCTAAGAAGGAGGAAAAGTAAGAAACCAAATACCTCTAAAAAAGTTCTTGCAACGTTTTGGCAACTTGAAAAGTTTGTATTTCTCAATTATTTCGAGCTCCATGTATCAAACTTGAACAAAAAATACATCAAAATGTAGCGCATCAAAAACTCTATCGATATCAATATTGATAAAAGTTTTAGATCCGTACTTGGCTCTTTAATCAAAATCGTTTTAAACATGAAATTTTTTGTAAAATCGAATCTTTTGCAAAAACTATCACTTTGCAAGATAATTAGCCATCATCTTCGGAAATCATGCATGAACTCAATTCTTTTTGCGTTATTTGTTCGAAATATGTCCGATCGTAGAAATTTTGCAGAAAAAAATAATTCAAAAAATATTTTTTATCGTTGCGAAACGGCCAGGTAGTAAGAACGACCAACTTATTTAGTCTCTTTCAGAGAAAAATATATTTTGGTACAAAAACCAAGAGTAAATTTAACTTCCAATATACCATTGGAAAGAGCACTCTTTATTCTACAAAAATCATCATTTAACGTGTTTTCTCATTTCTCTTCTGATGAAAAAAAACTAATAGAAAATAGAAAATGATGTTGCTCGATAGTGAAGTTGCAAGGACTTTTTTAGAGGTATTTGGTTTTTTACTTTTTCTCCTTCTCAGATTCGTTGTGGAAAAATATCTTTCGTACAAAATTTGTAGCTCAGACTTTGCTCTTTCCAACAAAAAAATGTTTGATTGGTTTAGAAGTCGGCAAGACGGTCTGAGAGAGCTTGACATTTGTGCAAAGACTTTTGCACCGCATGTTATCTGTATAGAACAACTGATGATCTTTATATAAGTAGTCATTAATTCATTAGCTGAGGCTTCTGTATCATCACCAAGTTTACAAGATACATGCACTGACTTTAATACAAAAGGATTCATTATATTTCAGAAATATTCACCATACATACAGTTGGGATCTCAAAGAGGTAAAATTTTATTTAATGGATATATACTCTTTCATATTTATGAGAAAGAGGAACAAGACAATTCAAAAATATTAGAGTATTTAATGAATTTTTTTGGCTGCCTTTTCTTTTGATCCTGCACATTCTGTCTATTTGCAAAACTTAATAAATTAATTTTATACACTCTGATCATGTATCAAGGGAAGAACTTAAATATGTATTTGTCTATTTTAAATTGCAAAATGACAAGTGGTGGAACAGTTTGGAGTTGAAGTTAAAGAACTGCTGAAAATTTGTTATAATGGAAGATAAAATAAATACACAGTGTTCGATCCTCAGATTTATCAATCCTAATACTTGAAGTACGAACTATATACCTTAAAATTAAACATAATGCAGGTAAAACCATTTTTTCCTATATACACATAGCCAATGAAACAAGTATGTCCCAACTTACAAAAAGCCCTTGTAAAAATATCCTCTCATCGCTGTTACATAATGTAATAGATGAGCAGTTAATTAGACAGGCACACATGGTCGAATGAGTGACAGTAGACTGTACAACAACATGTTTCTCAATTCTACGGGTCTGTAAGAATAATCATTGTGTAAATAAAAGTTTCAATAAATAAATGTACACACCTTGCAATACGAAAAATCTTTAGCAGAACGCATTTTGTGGTTAAAAGAATGGGAAACAGGTTGATAAAAAACAGCTCATCGAGCTTATTTCTTTGTTTTAGTCTTAAATATTTTTAATAAAGATACAGAACAATAGTACGTATATGATGTAGAAGTGATAGGTCCATGTAATCTAAAACTAAACACTTAGATAAAGGAATACCAAGGATAAGAAAAAGAGTAGAAACACCAAGATAACCAAAAATATTTTCGTTTGATCTTTCTGCTTCTCTTGAATAATGTGTATCTTCAGTTGTTGAACGAAGAATAAGTCGTTTTTCAAAATAATTTTGTCGTTTGTTATTAATATGAACACTACGTTCGTAGAAAAATTAGCAACACTAGTGACCTTGATGATTAACATATTTTGTTCCCAGCTTTATTGCCGGACAATCATCACAGTGTGGCTCAATAGAAAGCTCATCTCATCTACATCCACACTTTTTTCAACAAATATCGAGTAACATAAAAAACGAATTTCAGATTGATAATCAGATAAAATCAAAGAATTCTCTGGAAAAAAATTATCGAATAGAAGTGGTGTGTATGACAAAGTACATTTTCTCTTAGATTCACCAGGCCACGGATCAACAACTTTTTTTCACACAAAAAGATTTTTTTTAAAATCCAGATTCAATTTATCAATTGATCGCGGTGCGCAGGTGGATATTAACAAAATTTTTTAAAAATATACATTGAACTTACGAATTGATCTCGTTATTCGAATAAATCTAACTGAGAAAAAATTGATTTCTTCAAAATAAACATTCAACTTATCAGTTCATCTCAACTTTGTGATGAGTTTGAAAGAAAAAGAAATCATTTCTTGAAGTAAAAAATTTTTTTTTAACAGAAACAAATTTACTGAGTGTTCTTGCTGTTGAGATGAATCTAAATGGAAAAGAAAAATCTTATCGAATTTTATCGGATACGACAGGGTGAATTTGACCTGGATTCTCACAAGCTCCTGGAACAACGTTTTTCAAATAGAACGCAACACACACTCCAGCTTCGTGCTAGTTTTCACTAAAAAAAAGTTGTAGCTCCAAGCAATGAACAATAGAATTTAGCAGAGGACAAGTTCCAACCATTTTTGATTTTTGCGAACTCGATTTCTTCGTGAACAAAGTACTTAGGAATCGTGAGTGTAAGACAACTTCTCCTCCACTTGCTGATATCTATTTGCTTTAAAAATTTCCTCATTTTTCTTCTTGCAGTCGCTCGCTCTTGAGAGACTGCGCAAACAAATGAAAGGCCACTTAGGTCTTGCTAACTTCTGCATATGACGCAAGAATTGGTCAAATTATTATTAATACAGATATTTACCTATCTGCTGGAAAAAAATTATTTCTACTAGTGAATTCTTCTTACGGTGAAAAAGTAATATGATCGAATTCAACTTGAGTTTTTTTGACTTCTGCTTATAAATGTAAAAATGGACGAATGATTTCTCTCTTATGAGCATTGGATTTACTCTATAGCAAATGACATAACTTAATGAATGAAGTTTCCGGAAAAATTATTTCTTCTAGAAACGGAACAATCTTTCACTTTTGAAGAATATTGTTCAGCCATTACAAAATTGAGTCTACTCGTGTATGAAAGATATTAGGTTCATCAAAAAATAGTTGCGCAGTATCTCTATATAGATCGTCAAAGACAGACATCTCCTCTCCTCCTTTCTACTTTAAGTCTTCTCGGATAAAGATCTGGTGGTTTAGATAATGATCTGAATCGAAGAACAAAGTTAATGAATATAGCGACGATGAACTGCCCTAATTCAACTGATACGAGTCACTTCATATTGACTAAGAGACGAAAGAGTTTTTTTTTAATTCCTTGAAGATTACAATTCACTTGGTGTTGCCTGCAAGGCAGTTCATGCCCACATTTCGATTGCTTTCAAAGCACAGTATTTTCTTCTCTAATTATTTCTTTCGAAACATGTGTGTGTGTTGAAAAAGGCTATTCTACTTGCGAAATGATGAGTAGACACGAGCGTAGAATATATGAAACACAATTTTTCAGTTAAGCAACAATTGGATGCTTTTTACCAGATGAAACTAGTATTTATTAAGGCATTGTACATAGGATGAAATGAAAAGAGTTTTTCGATATCTTATTAACTTGTGATCCGCTTATTTTGCGATGTTTATATCTTCTAATATCTGGTTTCATGACAACTTCGTTACTTTTTCTCAAGAGAAAACGAAAACCCTTGCCCTCATCTTCAACAAATTTCACTCTTTCGGTATTTTTTTTTCAGCATGAAAAAACATTCGCGTACAGTACGCTCTCAAAATTTTCTGAAAAAAAAACTTTTTAAGCGTTTAGTTGGTATAGAGTCGCTTTTCAAAAACCTTTCACGTGCTCGACTGGTCTGCTATTGTATTGTAGATACCACTCAACTCTTCGTATTATTATATCAAACGGACAACCTAGCCATAGTGCTTCCTGATGAAATGATAATGCGTCTAAATCAGTAAGTCATTTATTGCTTTTGTTTTGTTTTATCATCCTTTACTTTAAACTTAATTGAAAAAGCAACAAATCAAACGAGTAAAGAAAATCAGAAAAAAAAAGAGAAAAAATAATTGGCATTGATTTGTGCATATGATTGAAATGAATTTATCGAATATTGATTATAATTTGATTTGTTTTCTCTAGATAAATACAACAGGACATTGAGTACAAATGGAGAAACGGAATAATACAGAAGAATCAATTCATACATCAATGATGATATAGCTGCTAGGTCTTTTTTTTTAGGCAAGATTTGTTTGTTCCTCAAAGAGAGCACGCATATCGGTAAATGCTTTGCGAATTTGAGTACCGAAGCGTTGTGAATCCTAGGGAAGAGTAAACAAGAGAGAGATTGAAGAAGTCGAATAACCGACATTACCGTTTCAGGCGATGATCGACGGGAAGATACGTGAAAATAAATAATATCTTCGTCTATGATGTAACTGACACCATATCCATCGTGAGCAACCTGAAATAAATGAAGCAGGTTAATATATAAGAGAAAAAACACATTGAGTAGCTAATTAAATGAGCAAAGATGTCTAGTAGCAAACGAGATCAGTGCGAAATTAAGCAGGTGTTGTGCAGAGAATTATTTATTGAATATCTAGAGTATATTCGAGTTTTTCTGGGCTATGATCAAATGAATAATCAGATGAATTTTATTTGTGACACTGATTGCTAACACATATTAAATCAACTCACAGGTCCGAAGCCACCACCAGCGCTGACTGCTGAGCTAGTTGCATTAGCTCTTGCGTGACGACTTTCATAGTATGCCGGTGTCTGATAAAGAGAGAAAGTTGTTGACACAGTCAAATCCAGATAGCATCAAGCATGCATGCAATAAGAATATCCAAAAACGAAAGTAAATGTTGAGATAAGAGTGCTACATAGAAAAAGGGGTACCCATTTTTCTTACAGCTCTGAAACCATCACCAATGCAAGTGATCTCTTTGAGCGGCTTCGTGCTGACTTTTTGGCCGAAACCTCGATTTTTTTGCCATCAATCATTGTAAACATGTATTCTTATAGAGAATCGAGTGAAGATTCGGATTTGAATGTTCTTTTTCACGAGCAAAATCTGAGTGAGAGGAGACACTTACTTGACTGGTGGATAATTTCCATGGTTCTTGAAGAACTTGTTGAAGAAATGGTGAATCCAAATTGAGATATTTCGAGATAACATAAAGGGAGAACAAATGTCGATCGATGCCTTTGCCTGTCATTGCATCTCGATACTGTTGTTGGTGATAATCGCATGCAAGACGTAACAATCGAATGCGCTCAGTATTCTAGAGAGACAGAGAGAGGGAATCCAAGTGTAAAAGATCAATATTCTAGATCACATACAGTTATATTCGGATCATTCATGGCCTTTACCCAAATACTCGACTCGATCGAACACGATCGTACAGTTTCTGTACGACCATTGCGAAACAATCGTGTCATTGATGCCTCATAAGTCAAATTGAAGTGACCAGAATCCTTAAATTCAAATAACGAGGAAACAACAGATTTTATCAGGACTAGTCATCTATTTCGAATATTCTTACACGATAGTGAGCCAACTGAAGAGCCATTTGAATGTAGGCATCTGGAGATAATTTGCACTTCTTCATAAAATTCTTACCTAGACAGAACATCATAACTAAGTTTAACACTTCATTGTAAAGAAACTGCCGATCAGAAATTCAAGTTAGCATTAGCGTTAACTGATCGCTTCCTTTTCAATCCTTTTCACATTTTCAAATTAAGTTTTCTCATAATTCTATAGATGAAATTCTGAAGAACTACTTTGTTTAAAAATTTGTAGTGAATCCTACACTTCAGAGCTACTTTTGATGCTTAGATACTTTTGAGGTTTAATAAGTATTATTTGGTAAATAACTGATTTACTATACGAGTCTTGAATGTAAACATGTAGATCAACATCATTGTACAATTTCGTAGCTTCGTAGACGCTTTGTTCGATCAATTTTTTACACTAAAACATATCGTTTCATTATATTACAGGAGAGATAAGGTGAATAGATCATTCGAAAACAGTGCTTCTTACGGCATCCGGAATACGCCATTCAAGTTTGATTGGTCGAAGAGCATTGAAACGTGGAATACCACGCGTATTACCGTTTTCATCGTAACTATATAGAAAAGTACCAATGGATCGTCTCTTCTCAATTTCATATTCCACTATTAGCTGGGCCAAGAACTTACCCTAATACAAGTATATCTTCAGAAAGAACATATTCGGTCATGTGACCACACACAGGTGCATCAGCCTACACAACGTGAACAAAATAAAATCAGAATGATCTATAGAAGAGATTTCATTATCTTTCATACCCAACTATGTTCTGCATTGAAACCAAACTATAACGAAAAAGAGCTTCCATCAAACGAATCATCATTATTAATAACAACACTTACTACTGCATTTTTGCTGATAACAAAATTGAACGATTTATCGAACCAACGATCATAACCTTTACCATGAAGCATCGCTCGTGCATAGTCATCAAATTTGGAGCTCATTTTCTAGATAGTAAAGACAATTGATTCAACGCGATTAGAAAAATAGCTTATCGTTATCATTGTGAATAAATAAGTTAGACCACAAGGGAATCATGAGTAGAGTCTAAAAATGTAGATAGTATCTACTTGGGATGACAATAGACGAACGGTGTAATTTGTAATTAGTCATGATTACCAGCGTTTCATGGAGTCACCAAACGAATTCACTATCGTTATAAATCGATAGTCGAGCATAGAGTTTTTTTTTTCCGTCAGAGGTTCATGGTTTACCGAAATAAAAGAAAATTCGATCTAACTTACTCTTCCTATTTCGAATTCGGCATCTTCTAAGATGAGAACGAAAGCTGCTTTTTCGATTGCTTTCAAGGATGAACGATTGCAGCCAGTATGAAAGAATGTTTCGCGTGCCGTAGCCCATAACGTTCGGTCACCGGCGGTTAGGGCAGCAAGATGTTCTTCGCCATCAGCAGGTGGCGTCTCATTCCTAATGATCTCATCCAATTGACTAAGAAGAACAAACATTTGAATTATTCTTGTTCACTTCTAGGAGTGAGACTAAAACTTACATTTGCAACTCGCACGGTTCTAAGAGCTTGGCTTTATAATACATGAAGACTTGATACCAACGACCTTTGTGATAGACAACAATATGATGACTGTCGGGATAGTGTACGATGTGATCTAGGGAAAATTCGAAATAAAATGAATTCTACAATGTTCGAAAAACGCTTTCTACCCATGTCTTTGCCTGGAATACGAACTGTGTTGAATTGTCGTTCATACTGACTCGAACAAAGTGGAATCACATTTTGAACCATCAACTAAACAACATTGATAATGATGAGAAGTACCTGAAAACATCAATTATTCGCACCGGTTTCATTCGTTGAAGTTCCAATTCAGTACGATATTTGAATGCCGCACAGACTAAATTGGCAGCACGCGCTGTTTGTTTCATTGTTGGACGATCAAAGACTGCATCCTGGAGAAACTATATCAATTCGACATCAACCATTTCTCAATGAACTACTTACGAGACCATAGAAATTACTATTCACCATAATTGGCGATCGACCACGAAAGTAGACGAATTTTTCCCACCAATCCGTTACCTAAAACGTATGAATCAATATTAGAATAAAAAGAAACATGCAATCACTACGCACATAATTCGTTGAGAAGAACCATTTGAACCAAAGATATCGTTGTAATTTACGTCCGGTGGTTTGTTTGAATTGATTCGCTAATTTTTCCACACATTGATATTCTTCATCATTGTAGAGTGGTCGAACTGTTCTTAAGTAGCGTTGTAATGTGTCAGCTAAACTTGGTAACGGTAAGGTTGGCAGAACACTTTGACACGAATACAAGGATGGATTTCGACCGACAAATAATTTGACGAGACCCATCCAGATCTTCGACATCAGATCAACATCTTGACCATGCTTTTGATACATCCAACCATGATAGGAAAACAAAGCTTTCAAGGTGTATTGCCGAATTTGAATGACACAAATATAAGCACCTACAGCGAAGGTGACACAAGCAAGAATTGTAGCCTTTTTCGATTGAAAGTAACGTCGAAAAATGTGTTCTTCCAGCCAAGCGATAACACCGAAAGATGGGTCATAGCCTTTGAGGTAGAGTGCTGGAACGGCCCCACAGCAAATTATACCACGAATTGGATGACCTGGATATAAGAAATTGTGGAATGAATTCAGTCTACGATGGCAACCCAATCGCCAAGAACGTAGACAAGAATAGTACCAATCTTTCAAAACATCATAGCGCACATCGACATTGAAACCTAAAGGGAAATGTTTTCATTGAAATATATGTTTTATCTAGTTTCAATCAGAGAATATTCTCTACCTCCGGGACCAACAGCAAATGAGAAGGCAACTGCTTCGTGAGCCTCAGCCATCCACAATCAATGATATTTTCCTTTCTGTTATCACTAGTACTTACACAAGGTCAAGTCGATCAACAACAAAAATTACAATTTACGAGCGTGTACTTTGACCAGATGAATTTTTGTTCTCTTCTTTAGACGCAAGGATGTATCAGTGTATACCCAGCTATGCCTATATCATCTAATGAAGCAACACTAGAGATAAGAGGAGAAAACAAACGTGAAATAAAAGACAAACAAAAGAGAAGACAATACATGTAAATCACGAGATAAAAACAGAAAATTCTATTTTTTCGTTTGCTTCTTTTTCAACATGTCGACACACCAGGTACGCCATATCAACATTACATAATATTGTTTGGTAGTGTTGCCTAAATTATATAATGCCTTTTTGCTCTTATCATGTGTCGTTATAATCATCCAACTTAATAAGTTGAATAGTTTGACTTTTTTCAATTGATAGACGGCATGATTCATTTATGTTGGACAGGATGAATTTTATTTGATTTGAATTGAAAAGTTCTTCATAGTCTTTCAAAAATGTTCTTTTGCTTTTTACGAAGCCATATATTTGAAATCATCATCGTTGTATGTGAATGTTTCGATTAGACAGTTAATTATTGAAGACATTTGAGTTTGTTTTACTCTGTCTTGTATAAATGTTTTTATCGAAATTGATATTCAAGAAAGAATTAGTTATTTAGTCGTAGTCAAGTAAATACGAAATGGTTGTAACAGATGATTTTGTAGTAGAATTCTGGCATTTGCATTCGCCTGTGAGAAAACACAACTGTGTGGAGAAGTATTTAAATTCAATCGTTGTAGGAAAGATTTATTATTCGGTAAAAGTTAAACACGTATTATGAGTATGGAAATAGTGCGCGGGTGTGGATATACTTTAAACAACAAATGTTTATTCTTGAACATTAAAATTTTTAGAGTTTGTAAAATGAAAATTGTTTCGAATTTTTCGTGCCAAATTAAAGTGTGAGGGTTGGACTATATTTAAGGAAGTGCCTTCTCTTCACACTCATCGACATCGACATGTTCAAGTCCATGCTACTCAATCTTTATTATGATCTACATAGTTTGAACTTGATTCCATGAAAAAATCTAAGTCATTCAATGAATAATCGATACACTAGTGGAAAAGAAGTTTCTTCATGATGTGAATAAAAGGTCGTATCATTGAAGATACCAATAAAATGTACTGATAATACTTCATAAGTTTTAATAGTACCACCTGATGATCATGCATTTTGTGAATAAGGCATTTAGAAATATTTTATATTTTTCTTTGTATAGATGATATCTACGCAAATATGTCAATGGAAATTAGATATTAGCATCAAGACAGAAATTTGCACTTGGTATTAAGCACCTTCTACTACGACGTACGTATATGTGCAGTATCATATTTAGTTTTCTAATTCATTTCAAAAAAGCTTAAGATATATGCCCTCAACAGCTTAGAAAAGAAATATAAATATGAAATTTTCTCAGTACTATGTAGTTCTAAGTACAATTGTTGTTTCGCATTCGTCAACAATGAGTATTGGCAATATGATTTGCTGGATATCAATAGTACTATCTGTATTGTTGTATTTTTCTGTTCTTTCATTGTCCACAACATCGACACGTAACCTTTTGCAGTTCAGTAATATGATCAAATATAAGGGCTATATAATTTTAGCGATTACAACGGCTACGGTTGTTGGTAAGTGCAATAGTCTACTATTGTTCTAATATTTGATCACCTTTGGTATGTAATAGGTGTGGTGCTGGTAATCATGGTCAATTAGCACTGGATGCTACAGATAATTGTTGTCGAATACATGATCAGTGTTACGATCGCATTTCTGGAAGACTTTTTGGTTGCTCGCCAAAGATAGTCACATATGACTGGGAAAAACTACCAAATAGAGCTATTCAGTGTACTGATCGAATAGAAACATGTGATCGGAATACTTGTGAGTGCGATAAAGCAGCTGTTGACTGTTTTGAG